CCTTTTCTGGTGGAGTCCGCCATGTTTTTGGCTCTAGATAGGGCCTTTTTTGTGGCCACCTTAATTTCTTCTACACGCTTGAAACGCTCACTGGATCATATTGGTTAGGACATTCGTGTATGAGGTGCCGTCTACACTGAGACCACTGTGTGTATCTTTAAATGGCTGATGATGCTCCGATGCTGGGTGAACTTCACTCCGCAGAGCAGACACTCGTAAGGCTTCTCCCCTGTGTGAATCCGCATGTGCTCCATCTTGCGGTACTGCCGCGTAAAGCGCATGCCGCACTCCTCACACGCGAAGGGCTTGAGCCCGAGGTGGCTGCGCATGTGCCGCGTCATGGTGCCCCTCTGCGTGAACAGCTTCCCGCAGACGTCGCAGGAGAACGGCCTGGTCGGCCAGTGGCTCCTCTCGTGCTGCGTCAGCAAAGCCACGTCAGCGTAGCTCTGACTGCAGACCGAGCAGGTGTGACGAGGCCGGGTCGCATCTGGTTTTGGTTCTTTTGTGTCCTGGTCCTCCTTTGCGTCTTCAGTTTTTCTTTCTCAGCTCCTCAGCGGTGTGTGAGGCTACATGAGCGATGAGCTGCTTGGAGCTTGGGAAGCCTCTCCCGCAGGGGATGCACATATACGTGTCGTGCAGAGCAGGTTGTACCGCGGGCTGCAGTTGGTGGTAGATGTAGCTGGCAGGTTTAAGCTCCTCGTCCTCACTCCCGCTCTCTCTCAGCTCGTCCTTTAGGACCAAATCTCCCTCACTGACCTCGGCTTGATCTTCCAGCTCTCCATTGTCCACTTCCTGTCTCTTTGTTTGCACTCTTCCTTCCAAACAGCTGCTGGATCGGTTCCTCTTGTGTGCTGCCGTTTGCTGGGAGTCTGAGGTTGGGTGCCGCTGCTCGCTGTGCTCTGATCTTTGGTTACAGAAAGCTGAGATGGAGTTAAAAGGTACGTCATCTGATGAATTGCTGCTGGAGTGTGGGGAGCTCTGCTGCAGGCTTCCAGTCGGACTCTTTCTGGTCAGCTTTAGCCTCAGGCCTGTTTCTACACTTCCACTGAGGCCGACTGCTGATGATGAGTTAACAGACACATGCTGTGCAGTAAAAAGCTCCTCCTCGGACAGATCCTCCCTGTGGAGCGTCTGATTATGACTCTGCTGTACCTCCATAGATCCTGGGTGGAGGTGGCCGTTGATGGTGGAGGATGTCCAGTTACCGGACCTGCAGAGTTTTCTGCGACATAGAGCTGCTAAGTCTGACAGCTGCAGGTAGGACGCAGCTCTGAGGAGGTCAGACACCCCCTGGTCACTAGCATGGTGAGAGGTAGACAGCTGACCTGTGTAGATAAAGTCCAGTACCTGATAGAAGTTGATAAAAACCTCATTACAAACCCTTAGAGGAACAGAAATCACCAGAATAACTTGTGTTTTGTTGGTTTCTCACCTGTTTGAACACTAAAGGATTCACCATGGCGGCGTTCAGGGTGATGAGGTTGTCATGCAGCACGAGGCATTTGAAGTAGCTGCTGCAGGCTGCCAGGACGTTCTTGTGGGCTCTGAAGAGAACGTTTTCTACCACAATGATCACGTCACACCAGTGTCCTTTAGATCGTTGCTGGTTCAGCTGCAGCAAAAGCTGTTCGGTGTAAGACAGCCGCTCCATCTCAAAGACTGGATTACAGTCCTGGGAGACAGTTGAGACAGGAAGGAGAGGATCATTTATGACTTAATGCAGTTCTTCATAATTAACTTTCATCCACAGTGACAGGAACAGGAGCTACATGTTGTGTGCGAATGCTAAATGAGGGAATGTTTTCACTTAATTGTTATTTGGTCTTTTTCAAATGAGCATGGAAACGTCAGCAAGAACAGCTGCAGATGATTTCTGAGGGGAACATGAATGTCTTGCACCAGTCTTTCTGGTAGTTGTTGAGATATTTAACTGGATAAGTGAAAGGTTTGACCTGCTGGTGGCGCCAGAAGAGAAGTCTGAGGATTGATCCTCTCTCAAACAACCACCTTTCAAAGTAATTCACTGTAATAGTTGTTGAGATGTTTCAGTCTGGACCACCACTTCAGTCCAGGCTGAAACATCTCAACAACTATTACAGTGAATTACTTTGAAAGGTGGTTGTTTGACCATCTCTTGAGCCACATCGCTAGCGGGGGCTAAAAATACTTTAACTGATCTGCAGGAGCTCTATCAGGGAGAGAAAGGTGGTTAAAATGACAAGAGAACTCCACCCTGCTGTCTCCTATCTGCCGTGGCACAGTTACAGCGAACAATACTAACACTACACACAAAGACAATCAATCATCTTTAACTGCACCTGATCACTTAATGTGTTGAATTATTGATTACAGAATGAATCCACAACTTCTCTGTGCAATAAAACAACTAACAGTCGTGAAAAGTAAGTTTCTCGGTGTCTTTTATTTAGTCTTTTCTCAGTTTAATGGATGATTTCTGAGCACCATCTGTTCTGCTGCAGATACACTGCTATCTCCAGGACCTGGGTATACGCTGGTACTAACAGCAACATCTGTTCTGCCAAACATAGATACAGATTACTCTTTTCTCACTGGACACTTTTTTTTAAAAGAAACAGAAGACTTTACTGGCTTTTAGCCAGTAAATCCCAGTAAGAGTCAGTCTGAGACACTGATCCAGTCAATGAACCGTCCACTTTACCTCTGGTGGGAAAAGTATTCAGATACAGGGGTGGGAAGTAACTAATAACAAATACAATGTTACTGTACTTAAGTAGTTTTTCCAGGTATCTGTACTTTGCCAAACAACAGATAAACAGAAACCTGCTCTCTTCTTTTCATCCATTTGCACATTTGCAGCAGCTTTGATCTTCAGCCATTAGTTTGTGCCAAATAAAATAGAAAACAGAATTATGTTTTTAGATTAACTGGATATGGTGTGATAGTTTAAATTGATATGAAACAGCTAAAATAATAATCCAGGCAGCAGGATTATATTATATTTTTGACATCCTGTTGCAGCCGGCAGTTTGAGACCCCTGATCTATGCTGATGGGACGGTTCAAACACAAAGTGAATTTAAGAGATTAAAAAATATTCCAAATTCTTTTTTTTATTATTTTATTTCCCATGCTTGTAATCTGCAACAATCACATTTCCATTTAAAATAATAAAACTGTGTTTTTTGAGATTTAAACAGAATTTAAAATGTCCAAAAAAATAAATTCTCAGTATGCTTTGAAGTTAATGAGCAACAAGAATCTTATTCGGGTTAAATTAGTCTGAAATATTTTAACCTGAAGAATCAATCAGGATTAAAATTCGAACTATTTCTTATATTTTTATGTCATCAATCAACAAAATGTAAAAGAAGCTGCAGTAATGGTGGAATGTGGCCAAACTAAGTACATTTACTTAAGTACAATATTGAGGTTTTTACTTCAGCTCCACATTTCAGATGGAAATTGTTTCTTTTTAACTTCACCACGTTTGTCTAGTTACAGTCCAGTACAAAATAATTCAAAATGAGCTCCAACAACAGTAAAATCCTGCTTTTACATTAAAGCATTAGTCATAATAATCTAATTATAGAAAAGTTATTAGTTATTAATGGCTTTAAATGAACCTACCAGGAGTCAGCAGGTGATGATGTGCAGCCCGGGAGAGAGCCACAGTGAGACAGCAGTAGTGAGACAGCCGCAGTGAGACAGCAGCAGTGAGACAGCCGCAGTGAGGAGTGCTGATGAACTTGGTGACTGATAAACCTTAAACCAATGAACCATCCTCCTGTAAAAACTTGCAGCAATAATAATGTAATTAATTAATAATGTAATTAATAATGTTACGTAGTCAGAGTTGAGTCTGTTGGCTGCACAAACGAGTATCAGATAAGTTAATTTAACTCAAAAACTGTTGAAACTGATCACATAAAGAATGTTTAGTAAAACAAACTCATAAAACAAACTAAAACATTCTTGATAAAGTATTTTAGTAATTTTAAGTGACTTTATATTTTAAAATGTAAAAATATATAATATTATGATGCTTTAAACTGTGTGATATGTTAATTATTTGATCAGAAATCTGTTTTGATTTTGTGTTTTTAATGTGATTCTGAGAGAAAATTAAGAGAACGTGTGTAAATACTTTTGTACATTAACAACTGAATATTGATTAATTTATTATTGATTAAAATACTGAAACATGTAGAAACTCAGTGTGTGTGTGTGTGTGTTATACTGTAACTACAGAGTGCCATCTAGTGCTCAGCAACAAAACTCACTGCAGATTATCAGGTGGAAGAAGAATTCAGGTCCTTCAGTAAAAGCACAAATACTGTTCTGTGAAAATACTCCACTACAAAATATCACCAATATTATCAATATGATCAATATTATCATTCTATAAGATCACCATCACTGTCCTGTGAAAACCACATATATCTATAAAGTCAGAAAAAATGTCTTATTTTGAAACTGTATTAAAGTTGAGCCTTATCACTTAGTCCAGTGGTTCCCAACCTGAGGGTCGGGACCCCCAGTAGGGATCGCCAAAGCTTCTTGGGGGGTCGCAAGGGGCGTAAGAAAACTTTAAACATATACACAGTAGATCTATATCTCAGCATTTTGGTTAATTTCTTAAGAAAAATAAATAAAATTGTATTTTAAGTTTAGATAGCATGTATGAAAATAAATAATACAGACAGAATTGTATAAAATGATCCTACAAATATCAGGAAAACTGAAAATAAACTGCTCAAAATTCATCCAAATTCCTCATTTTACACAAACCACCTGCAGTTATTGTGTTTGTTGTTCTGTACTGTTAAATATAATATGAAATCTGCATTAAATATAATAAGAAATATTCATAGAAAATGCCACAATCAGGAATCGTCAGTTTACTAAATGATAGAAAACTGTTTTTTTAAGAAAAAAGGTTGGGAACCACTGACTTTAATATTTCACATTATTTTGACTTAATATCACAAAACAATTTACGTAATATCTCAAAATAATGACATAATATCTTTAAATCCATACTTTAAGAAGGTTTTTTTATTAAAATAACTTTCAGAATATATTTTTTTTGGGCGGAAATAAGCTTCCATACTTCCCCCCTCTGCTTATGACTGAGTGTATGAGTCACAGTATCAGTGTGTGTGTGTGTGTGTGTGTTTGTTCTCAGGTGTGCATTTTATCAACAGTACAGCCCCCCCTCTGTGCTGGGAGTGGAACCCACCAGGGGGATTTGGCCAGGTTCACGTGGTCGCCTCGAGGGAACCTCGTTGGTGTAACGTACTGAAACAAGAGAAAGAAGGAGAGAAAGAAAGAGAGGAAAGGAAAGCGAGAGCAAGGGTAACGCAGAGCTGCAGGCTCTGTTTACATCCATTAAATAAACTTATTCGATCAAGGCCCGTAAGCGATTGGGACATCGGGATTTTAGGCCGCGCGCGCGGTTCGCAAATGGGTGAACTTTTTAATGGTCGGGAGAAGTTGAGCGCCGTTTTAAGTTAAAAGGTGAGGAGTGAGAGTGAAGTCCTCCTCGCTGGTTATCGCCAACGCTCGCTAAAAAGACTGCAGGACACCCAGGACTATTTTTATATTAAAGCTTACAGCCCTGTTTCAACTAATGATAACAGCAGAAATCGATAGAGACCTAACACAGAGTTACATGTAAAGGGTGTTTTTCCCGGACCGAAGCGCCTCTTGCGCTGCTTGGCCAGTTTATCAGGGGCCTTCTTTTCACTACACACATTATTACATTACGTACACACTAACATTACATTATTTCGGGGTACAAAACCCGGACACTAATGTTCTATCATTACACACAGCCGACGTGTCTGACACTCCGGTGGTGGCTTATTTTATGGAAACTTCTTGGTCCCTAATAGCGATTTGCTGACTCAACCCTGCAGGACACATTAATGAGTGGGGTGGAAAGAGCGACGCTGAATCCGGTGTACTTAGAAGTCAATACCAGTGGTTAAAATACTCCCGATCTAGCCAAGCAGTAATGGTGCTGCATTCAGAAACCCAGGTAAGGTTCCCAACAATGGTCCTTTGGGGAACCACCTGGACACCTGGACATTTCATTAAAGGGAACCAAAATATCCTGGACCAACTGATTAATCTTACTAAGCCTGCACAGATTAATCTAAATGTATGAATGAAATTACAAATTCCAAGTGCAAAGAGTTTCATTAGACGGTAAAGTATGTGACACAGTTGTTGAAGACGTACTTTTTCTGTGTTTTTTTTTTTTTTTTTTTTTTTTTTCTTTAGAAGCTGCACAGGATTTCTCTGAAATAACAGATGTTGTTCTACAATTTAAAAAATGCCTGGTTTGTTTTCATACAAACGCAAACAAAATTGTCACTGGTTTTTTTTGTTGAAAATCAAAGTTTGTTGATGCAAAAAAACAACCATTCCCTTCACTAATCCTGAGATCATAGCACAACATCTGTTCTCATTAATGATTAATTATGATTGTTTTTACCATATTTAGTAATGTTAATAGTTTTTGGTGCTGGAAGAAGTAATCAGTAATGTAGAAATACTCCATTACAGGTGGAAGTACTGCCAAGTTAACAGGGTTCCTATGTGACTTGGAGAAACCTTGGGGAATTAAAGGACTAGTGTTTACAGTCTATTGGGAAAGGTGTGAAGCCTGGAAATGGAATAGAAATTATTCTGAAATAATCTCTGTCTGCCTGGGGAAACATGTTTAGTTGTATTTTTTAGGGGCTCCTCACTCAGCATTGAACATTGTAGCTTAAACTTTTTGGGGGGTCAGAATCACCGAAAAGCTGCAGAAACTATCGGTGGATAAACAGCAGAAAGGGTGAAGCTGGTCGAGCGTTTCCATAAACACTTGTTTTGTCATTTACTTGGCCTTATCGGGTAAACTTACATTAATTATTGTACAGAAAAACTCCTGGAAAATGTTTCCTGGAAAATGGGTTTTCCTTGGGAAAAGTGTTTCCTGGAAAATGTCTTGGATATTG